AGGTTGGAAGGGACCACAGTGGGTCATCTGGTCCAACCTCTCTGCTCAAGCAGGGTCATCCTAGAGCACATTGCACAGGATTGTGTCCAGATGGCTCTTGAATATCTCCAGTGAGGGAGACTCTACAATGTCTCTGGGCAATCTGTTCCAATGCACAGTCACTCGTGCAATAAAGCTCTTCCTCACATTCAGGTGGAACTTCCTGTGCATCAGTTTCTGCTCATTGCCTCTTGTCCTATTGCTTGGAACCACCAAGAAGAGCCTGGCTCCATCCTCTGGACACCCTTCCTTCAGATACTAATAGACATTGATGAGGTCCCCTCTCAGTTGTCTCTTCTCGAGGCTGAACAGGCCCAGCTCCTCAGCTTTTCCTCCTAAGAGAGATGCTCCAGTCCCGTCATCGTCATAGTTGCCCTCCACTGGACCTGCTCCAGGAGCTCTGTGTCTCTCTTGTCCTAAGGAGCCCACAACTGGACACAGCACTCCAGATGTGGCCTCACCAGGGCTGAGTAGAGGAGCAGGATCACCTCCCTTGACCTGCTGGCAATGCTCTTCCTAATGCACCCCAGGATACCATAAAAATAAAAATAAAATAAAAATATAATAAAAAATAAAAAATATAATAAAAATAAATTCAAAATTAAAAATAAAATTAAAAATAAAATAAAAATAAAATAAAAATTAAAATAAATTCAGAAATACAATAAAAATTTAATAAAAAATAAAAATTAAAATGGAAATGGAAATTAAAAATTAAAAAATTAAAGTAGAAATTAAAATAAAATTTAAATTAAAATATAATAAAAATAAATGAAAAATAAATCGAAAATAATATTTTAAATAATTTTATTTTATTTTTTTATTTGAGTGGGATTTTTTAAATTTTCTCTTTTTTAAAAAAATTTCTTTTTATTTTTTTTATATTCTGTTCACGTTTTCGGGAGGACCTGGGGACCTATCGGGATTGACAGAGACAGCAGCCAATGGAACGGTGCGGAAGGCGGTGCGAGTTGCGCCGTGACCAATAGGCGAGCGAAGCGAAGTTCACGGCATCCAATGGGGAGGCGGCGGGGGCTGCTGTGCTTGTCTGCCCCCTCTCTCCCTGCTCTGCGCTCTCCCCTCCCGCTCGGGGCACGGCGGGGCAGGGCCAGTTCTCGGTTCCCGTCTCCGCAGCGCTGGTGGCCGCCGCGCCCCGCGCCCACCTGAATCGCCGGACAACAACATGACGGCCGCCTACGTTCGGGAAACGTGGCGCTCCCCTTTCATGCACCGTACAACAAAATGGCGGCCTCCAGGGCTCACCCCTCTCTCCTTAAAGGCTATCTAAGGCGGTCCAGCCCTTCCGACCCACCCCGGGGCCGAGTGGGTCAAGTCTCACCGGGGGAACAATTCTGCTACGAACACAGGGGTTTGAATCCCAGCTGTAACAGCTTTAAAAAGAAACTGCACTGGAGTAAAAGAAAGTGCGTTAAAATGCCACAAAGGGGTTTGAATCCCAGCTGTAACAGCTTTAAAAAGAAACTGCACTGGAGTAAAAGAAAGTGCGTTAAAATGCCACAAAGTGGCAGCAACACCAACCTTGATGATAGAGCCAAGAAAGAATTACAACTAGAAGTTTCATCTCCTGGCTGAGCGAGCTTTATTTGCTGCCAGTTCCAGTTAAGAGAACATGCAAAGCTTAGGAAATAAGTACAGATGTGGTAAAAGTGGATAGCAAAAATTTTAAGTAGAGCATCTGGAATAGAGAACTTGGTTTTGCCAAACTGCACTGCAGTGATGCTGAATATAGTTTTAAAAGCAGTTGTGGCCCAAAATGAAGATAGAAAGCCCCACTTAACTGTGGAGCAGTCTGGAGTTAAGGATTTTCCAGGCATTTGTTCTAATTAATCTTGAATGGGTTAATTGGCTGAATTTTTATCGCCTGTTGACAACTTGTTTGTAAAATGAATCTCAGTGTCATTCCACGCGGGAGCTGTGGCCCTGTCACACGGGATCAGCTGAGCATCCTGCAGGTGTCTCAACAGGCAGAGGGAACACACAGACAGCAAGGTGAACACAACTTCTGGTTCTCATGGTGGTTCAGGGCACTTGTGTCGGGCTGGAGCTGTGAAACTGCGCAGTCAGTGTTGCATTCTGAGCGCTCGATTCTATCTCTAACAAACCTTTGTTTGCTCAGGCGTGACCCCGTTCCTCAGTGATTGCTGTTTGTAGATATTTTGCCTGATGATGTGAATTTCTCATGCAGCTTGTTTCCAACTACTAGAAGAGATGGAATCACTCCAGGAATCAAATGTTGTTGCAAGTGGAGGTAAGATACAGAACTGAGGTCCTGCAGCCAGGATGCACAAAGGCACTCTTGATTTTAGGTGAGTGCAGAAAAAAGTTCAGGGCAGAAAAACGATCTCATAAAATCTCCTGGTGCTTCAGTAGCCTTAGAGCTGCTGGACTGTCTCTAACACTGTTGCTTGCACTGGAATGCAGTGGGGTGGAGCGCAGAGAAACAGGCTGTTCACCCGAGTGCTGGTTTCAGCACCTGCTGCCAGTCCTGCGGGCAGCAGTTGTGCTTTCATTTACCTTCCCATTGCTCTAAAAGAAAGGAGTGCCTTACCAGATCACAAGCAAGAGAAGTTCCTTGGTTTTGATGAACAAACTGCTTCTGACATGTCCAGTCTGCCCTCCGTGTGTAGTGTGTTAACCCTGAAAGGGTTAACAACACTGGCACTGCAATAACTGCCCCCTAATCCCACCGCATCTGAAGGAAGACCCTGGAGACAGGCAGGGATCCCTCCCTCGCCTGGCTGGGATCATTGTTGCCTTCAGCCTCCCGCTGCTTCTCCCGTGCAGCTTTCCGAGGCCGCTGCTTGATGCCTGTTGGTTGTGCTGATAAACACAGGGTGTGAGCGGAGCTCTCTGCCCGCGCGGGCTAGGTTACCCGCAGGGCTGCATCCCCCTCTGCAGGCAGGCGTTCCAGTGGAATCATTGTCTCAGCCGGTGTTTAAACAGGAGGGAAGTCTGCAATCTTCCTGATGGGACTAAGAGTGCATGTATGTATTTTGTTTACATTTTAAAGTATTCAAGTATCCCATGTCGCCTTCTAAGATACTCACAGCCAAGTATTTTAGCAGGATGTCAAATCCAAAGAGTTTTGCTGCAAGCATGGCTCTATTAGGAATGATGATGCCGTTGGGGGAGAGCAGTACTAAAAAGGATTTGAAGCTGTGAAAGTATAACCAAATGACCACAATTCCCTTTGAATGGAAATAATATGGTGTGAATTTACAATTCTTTTGAAAGGAGGTATTTTACAAAAATTGAAACAAACACTAATCCATGCAAGGTCCTTGCATCATTGTGGCATTATGGCATGTTCAGGAAAAAAAAACAAAAACAATCAGAAATTACTATTTCAGCATAGCGATCAGAAATATAACTTAAAGGAAAATCTTTGCCTTTGTGCCAATCTTCCATTCATAGAACTGTTCAGATTAAACTCTCCGTAAGACACAGCTGCCCTTGGCAGTGGTATGGTTTGGGAGGTTTCTGTCCAAGTCCCGAGGTGAGGAGCAGCACTGTGTGTGAGGGTGCCTGTGGGGCCGCAGGGCAGTGGAGATGGGGAGGTGGCGTGTCCCAGAAGTGGGGTGGGTGGCAGCAGGGGGGCTTGTAAGCAGTGGCTGCACCCACGTGATTGGAGATACACAGCTAAGAGGGCTGGTCAAGAGTGGTCCGAAGTCTGACTGTGCTCCTCCCAAAAGAACGTGACATCGGTAAAATCAGTGGGCCAGAAACCCGTGTGATTAACTGTGACCACACTTGATTCATCCAAAATGAGTTTTAAGTTGCATTTAAAGGATGTACTAACAGGCATCTTTGGGTTTACAGTTTTCAAGGGAGAGATCAAGGCTTTTACATGCAGGAAAAGGTCATTAACATCAGCAGAGACAATTCCACACTTGGGATCAGATGTGTGTCATCCTTAGATGCAATGATTTCCTGGCCCTGAATGTTCACAAACTTCAGTATTGCAAATGCAGGGGCTGCTCTGTCCCTCAGCATGGACCAGGGAGGGTATTCCTTTGTCATCATTATCCCATTGCCAGTACTGGAAAAAGCAAAATGAGTTTGCCAGTGTTAAATCACAACAGCTTTATGTGCAGGTAGGTAGTTACAGTTTGTCACCAAAGTAATCCTGCATTTTTTTTTTTTAAATAATTTGACATCATTGTTACATTTCCAGCAGTAGTGTCTCTAAAAACAGTTCCACACAAAATATTTGTAGCTCTGGTGACATCTAAGATTAAAAATGTGGACACCACTGTACTGGCAACAGGGTTGTTCCTTGTAAACCTGCTTTGCAGTTTTCATGCCAGTCCTTAAGGATTCACCGCCAAAGGTCTGAGCACGGGTGTTGGGGCAGGGCTGCGCATTGAAATACGACTGAGATGTCTGTCTTGGGATCCCGTTCAGACCTACTTACAGCCACAGGGTGACAGCAGAGCTCCTCCCACACAGTACAGAATCCCAGTGCCTTTGCTGTCACCTGATTTCCCCCTGGACACTTCTCCCTTTGGTGCCTGGAAGGTGACTACAGTCAGTGTGCTCCAGGCGTGCATTACTCACATGCTGCCCTCAAGGGTGCTCCCACTGTCCCACCAAGAGGAGAAATGTAGCACTGCCAGGCTACTTGGTTTCAAAGTCAGTGTAACTTCGTAGAAAACTTGGGGGGTTTTTGTTAGCCAGGACACCCATAGAAAAACCCATCTGGTCCCAGAGAGAGAACCTGCTTCCCTTCTTTCCACCCTTCCTAATCAGGTTAAGAGCCACAAGAGTAACCACAGCCTTGCAAGGCAGGTAGCAGGGTGATACAACTCGCAGCTGTAACACAGGGTTTTCTCTGCTGTCAAAAGCCTTCTGTTGAGAGTTATACACTGCAGAAAACAAAAAATGCTCCATGTTGTAATGTTTCCCAGCAATAGCATGCTCCAGTCATACTACAAACGAGGTCCTTTGAAGTACAAATGTTTATTGCAATGTTTCATTATTTACAGTACCATTCACTGTGTCCCTGGGTGCTACCAAAGTGCAAGCCATTTTGGACAGGACAGCTAAACCATGGTAATTCAGCAGCAAAACACGACTGCACCTTACGCTCATGCTGTCCTGCCTCTTCCCCAGGCCTGAACGCAGAGAAGTTTGCTGCTCTCCCAGGTCACTTGGAACAACCTGGTAATGTGAAACTTTGGTCACAAAGGATTGTCAGTTGCTGGTCTTTCAAGGTGATGCAGGAACAAGAATCAGCAATCTTTCCAGCTGGACTTTACTCGGAATTCAGAGTTTCTGATTGCCTAACGAGATGTGTTTGTATGCAGGACTGTCAAATTCCTATTTCAATTTCTTACGTAAGTACTGGTTTATTCCCAATTATTTTTTTTCTGATTCTCTTTGGTTTATGTAAGCTTTTCATCATCTACCTGTTTTGAGGCTATCTATCTACTTTCTTAAAAGAGCCAGTACCTTGAGAATTACCAGTCGCTACTGGATACTGATACTGGTTGTGTCATCTCCTAGAGTTGCATTTAAAGGTCTTTACTGCAAATTTTATTATGCACTTCCATTTCATATAAAAATGGTATTGCAGTGGCTAAACTCAGGGCAAGAATATTTTCTGTTTTCTAACACGTGTATTAGCTCAAGAAAGTAGTTTGAAAGACAGTTCAGACTGAGTTCCACTGCTGCCAGCAGTCCCTTGGGAGGCGGGCAGTGAACTTCTCTGCCTCAGTTATTTTATTTTGCACCAGGGATGTCATTACCTTCTAAAATTTGAGATGCCTTGTGTTACAAAGCTCTTGTACAATTAGGAAATGTTTAAGACTTCATTCCAGAAAATAAGTTATATTAAATGGCACTCAAGTCCTCCAGGAAACATGTAGCAGGGCTGTTGGGTGAAGTTCAGCAGTAACAATTTCTGCCTTCTCCCCATGCCTGCTTTACAGTTCCTGTAATAATGAGTCCCTGCAACAGCTGCCTCAAATGATTCTGAAATTACGGCTTCTCAAAAAGGGGATGATTGCAGCTCTTGGCAGGTTTCTTCCCCGTGAGTCACACTTTTATTCCATGTTATCACAGGCTTTTCTGTATCACTATTGATAAAAAGTCACCAAAAGCTTTACAGCTGCAGAAGGTACCATTTTCACAAAGAAAATGTACTAGATTGATTTCTTAACCTACCATACAAAACACAGTGTTTAAAAGCTCTGCAGTGCTTCTCTATTATCATTCCTTTGGAATTTGGAGGAGGCGGCAGAGCTCACATGCAGTCAACAACGTTGCTGGATCCTTGTCCCACATCCCGGATCTGGCTGCTGAGACAGGAGCACACGGCCACGCCTGCCCCTGCCCGGCAGTGTGACACCGAGCCCACGAGCTCCCACCTACGGAACGTGGCAGAGGGAAAAAAGAAAAGTCAGTTCCTGTCCTTTCTGAGCAATCTGAAAGTATTTATTTTCTGTGTCCGAAATTCTTTTACACAGCCTAGCTGTTTGCCCTGCACAAAAATGCAGGGCTTATTATTTCTCTGTAGATTGTTACTGAATGAACAAGGGATGCAGAGGAGGCAGAGGAGGGAGGAGGTGCTTAAATATTTACAAGAAAAACCTAGTGGCATAGGCAGCAGTCCTATATTGACAGTCATGGATATTACTCAGGAAACAACAGCTAGACTCCTGCTGCACGGTGTCATGTTGTGTTTTCATATAGGCAGACTTCATTGTCTTACTAAGCCAAATAAAACATTTAAAATTACCTATTCACTACAGGATCAAATGCTTCCACTGTATTCAGGTACACGTTGCCATTATGACCTCCAACTGCAAAAATCTTTCCCATCAGTGTCGCGATGCCAACACCACCCCTTGGAGTTGTGAGCTCTGCCACATATTCCCATTTGTTACTGCGTGGGTCAAACCGCTCCACCGAGCTCAGCGGGGAGTTGTCGTCAAAGCCACCTGCAAAGAACCATCACGTTTATCTGTTTTTAGCCACTTCTGGTGCAGGTGATGCCCAGGACTGGCATTATCAGGCTACTCTCAGTGTTAGGGGGTACTGTCCAGCTCCCTCTTCACTAGAACTTTCCAAGCCCCTAAAAATTAATCTAGCAGCTCTCCCTCCTGTCACTGTACAAGCATCGCCTAGGGCGACAGTTTTCTTCTATTCAAGTTGCAAGAGTTCTATTCTATTATTTTTCTCCTTGAATTCATCATACTTACAATGAAACAGCTTCCCATTCGGAACAGGAAAAAACCCAAAGACCAGTAAAAAGATGGTCCCAATCTTAAGTTTAGTTTAGTTTATGCAAAACACACTCTTGCAGAGTTCTCAAGTTACAGCATTGACGAATAGTTCAGTAGGAAACAAAAATTCCTCATGTAACACTTCGGTGATGCTTTCCCCTTACTGGGGCAGCTCTCAGAGAAGCATTCTGCTTGAAACCTTTGTAAGCATTTATGATAATACACAAGGCAGAGCTCTGCAACTACCACTATGGCACACCTACCTGGCATCTTCCTCCCTCAGGAAAGCAGGTAAAAGGTAGCGCACAGGACAACAGGCTGTGGAATAAGCGCGAAAAAGCTACTGTTGTCTACACTCAGAACACAACTAAAAAGCTTTGAAAGTCTGTGAACTTAAAAATCATTTCCTAAAAGGAAACCCAAGATTAGTGAGTCTAAGAGGGTTTTCTAATATAGACATATTGTGTTGAACAGTATAACCCTCCTGAAATGCGGGTTAGCAACTGCTTTTTTATTTCCTTGCTAACATACCTTTGTTTAAGTGTGTCGTGGTTGTACTTGCTCTCTTCTCCTGCCCAAGAACATCAAGTACAGGTCAGGTCTATCTGTTCCCCAGTTCCTCTAGCAACAACAGCTTCTTCCACTTGGCAGCACCAGCACTACAAAATGCCACATCCCTACTCACCGACAACATACAAGCAGCCATGGAGCTCGCTGACACCATTCCCAGCTCTTCGCTGACCCATCTCTTTCACTTCTATCCACTTATCCAAATGGGGATCATATTTCTCCACACTGGAAAGAGATGCTACACCGTCATTGCCCCCCACAGCATAAACGTGGTTCTGGAAAACATTTGTATAGGGAAAGATTATTAGTAATGTAGTTGTCTTTACTCAGCTTTCCATAAGCAATGTTAAAATTATAGGAAAACCTGGTATATCCACACAGTCCTAATTATTTACTTTATTTAAGAATTCCAGTAACAGACTTAATTATCTAACATAAATGCCATCTTCCAATTAAAGAAGAGAAAAAGTTATGTAATGTTGCAGCTATTTTGCAGAGCATATATGGCAACAGAGGGTTTAAAGTGCAGATGCATTCGGTACCTTTAATCATAGTGACCATGCCAAACCAGACTTCTGAGTGAGACAGGAAGCACTAGCCACGTGGTTAGAAGGGTTCTAATACTTGCTCCCAGTACCTCAAATACTGTTGAAACAGTTCAGTTTGATGTATTATCCTAAATATCCTCACCTTTTGCACAGTTCCATAGGATTTTGATGACCAGAGGTGCTCAGACCCACCAGCTGCATTTTGTTTAAGATCTCGTGTTCTGCCTTGTAGAAGCAGATTTGAAAAGCAGATCGGTTCCTCAGTTGGCCCTGACTTGGGAGTAAACAGTCACTTACCACCAGGGCCACGGAGCCGACTCCTCCCCGGGGAGTGTTCATGGGGGCGACTGTGCTCCACCGATCGGAGTCGATGTCGTACCGTTCCACGTCGCTGAAGCAGGTGTTGTCATCCAAACCTCCTATTGCGTAAATGGGGCCGCCAAGGGAGGCCAGGGCGATTCCTCTCCTAGGAAAACGACAGGATCAACACCTCAGTGCAAATCCTCGAGGAAAGGGAATGACACATCAAGTGCAATGTTACATGACTGGCACCTCTTTCGAACTATGGGGAAAAAAGCAACGAAAATTTAAAAAGTGAAGTTTATAGTAAATAATGTAGCTGGCCCTCTGCACACCTGTGCCAGAGGGGCATGGAATACTGTTTTGACAGAATGTCACCTAAGGCCCAAGTCCTCTACTCACATGCTCAGATATCTGAGATGGTCTTAGATATTTGCTTTCTCTGTCTGGGTACTGAATTTCATGCCTCCGATTTTGTTTGTCGAATCCGATGAAGAACCAAAACCTGCTGGTTTTAACTTTGTTGGTATAGCTGGCTTCTACAATTTGGGAATGATTGAAGGGGGAATATTGGTACATACTAAAAGGCAAACCTGTGCTAGATATTAGATGATTGAACTCTAGCAAGATGTAATCGCAATTTCTTCCATTCTGATTTTTAAATTAAGTGTTAAAATGGTTCTCAGGTTTGTTTCTACTGAATCTACCAACATGAGAGTACAATCGGTAGTACAAAATTAAAAAGCATTGTCTAGTTTCTGCTTTAACTACCAAGAGAGATGATTTACCATGTCCTTGGGAACATTCTTTCTCATTATACAGAGGGCAGGTTCACAGATGGGCGGGTGGGCAGGAGCAAGGGAGGCACAATCTTTGTACAGAACAAACATTGTGGCAATATCCTGGGCTTATCTTAAATTGCCTCAACAGATAACAGACACCATTAATGATGGCAGTTGTTTTCTATTTTGATTAAAGCTACAAAGAACTTAGCCGTGCTCAGTATGCTCCTACTTGTACAGGATGTTTTTAAAAACAACAAACAAAATGGAATGTAGAATTAAGTACAATGGTTTAAATAACACCAGAAACAAAAAAATTACAGATCCGTGAGTCCAGTAACTCCTTAAAAGAATCTTAAATGTCAAAAGGCAAGAAAAATCCTCAAGTGGACTTTCAGTGTTTTAGTCCTTCCAGCCTTTTGAGGCAAAAACATAAGTGGCTACTTGTTTGCTGGGCAGTATTTCACTTTTCATGTTATGCTGGCAGTTATCTTGCTCATTCTTAAAAAGAGCAAAAAATCCACAGAACCAGTTCATCAGTTTCAAGTTGTTTATTGGGCATAGCAGAAAGGCCCTTGATACCAGAATATAAGCATAGCTGTAGTAGAACAGGTTTCTGCTCCAGAAGCCAACTCCCCCAAAAAAAGAAGAAAAGATAAGGATAATACCTTTATAGCACAAAGCTCCAAAATAGGGAGAAAAATTCCTAGAAATAGCATTTTGAAAACCTGAATAAAGGCAGGGCAGACATGATATTTTCCAGCATGAGCAAGAAATGATATATCACAGACTAGGACTTAAATTTTGGATCATAGGACACATATACCTCTTTGTGTTCATCGATGCCTTCATCATCCACTTGTTTGTGAGAGGATCAAATACTTCCATGCTTCCTAAGTGTTCATTTCCATCATGTCCACCTACCGCGTAGACTTTACCTGAACACATACACATCTTTTGATATAGAGAGTGCTTGGCAACATTTCAGTTTTCATTTATATAATATCCCTGTCTATGTGGAAACAAAGAGTTCAAATAACGGTTAAAGTTTCTAAATGTTTTCGATATCAGAATTTAAGTAAGTATGGACTTTATATATTTATATGCTGTACTCAACCAGGAATCTGTTCTAATGAGGACTGGCTGACTGCTGTGTAAGGCCATTTTTTATACGTGGATTTATAAAAAGTAAAACCCCTGTTAAGGCAAGGGGGTATATACAGTTCATAGACTCATAGAATCATTTGGGTTGGAAGGAACCTTTCAAGGTCATTTAGTCCAGCCCCTCTGCAATGAGCAGGGGCATTTTCAACTAAATCAGGTTGTTCAGAGCCCCATCCAGTCTGACCTTGAATGTCTCCAGAGATGGGCATTTACCACCTCTCTGGGCAACCTGTTCCAATGTTTCCCCACCCTCACTGTAAAAAAATTTCTTCTTCACATCTACTCTGAATCTACCCTCTTTTAGTACCATTTACCCCCTGTCCTATTGCAACAGCCCCTACTAAAAAGTCTGTCCCCATCGTTCTTGTAAACTCCCTTTAAGCACTGAAAGGGCACAATAAGGTCTCCATGGAGCCTTCTCTTCTCAAGTCTGAACAGCCCCAACTCTGTCAGTTCATAATAATGTCTTTTCAGTAAGTATGGCCTTAGATTGGTTCAGAACCAAACACTCCTTCAGGAAAGAAGCTTTACTAAAGTGAAGAATATTCAATAATTAAGCAAGTAAAGTAGTTTACTACTTGTACAAGTAGTAAAAAGTATCAACTCCAGCAAAAGGAACAAAACAAGTGCCTTTTGAATGGGGTTGCTTGAATAGGGTTACTGACCTCCCACAGAGATCACACCCACGTGCCTCCTCCTGCTGTTCATTTCAGGGCCGAAGAACCAGTTGTTCTTACTGATAGAGTAACACTCAATGCTGCGAAAGGGGTCGCCTGATCCACCTCTGCCCCCGACACAGAACAGCACACCTGAAGGAGACAAAACAGGTTTCCAGAGAACTAGCAGGAGGATGGGGAAAAAAAACTGTATAGCAGAGCAAACTGAAAATTACATCGTTTGGGAGAAGTTGTATTTCACTTCCAGGGCACAGTCATTGCCCTGCATAACTGCATACTGGATTTTGGCCTTTGCTTGGCATGCTGCTATGGCAATTGGTTATCTATGCTCTTGCAAACACAATGTATATTTTAAATACACTTTTTTTGTGATTTTGCTTAAGGAGATGAATACATTGTTAAATATAACAACGTAAAAACGAGGATTTGCAGTCTAATATTCATTACTCACTTTTGGTGCAGGTTAGTCAAAGACTTTAAAAGTTAGCTCAGCCTTACACCAAAAGATAACTGTCCACTGTTTTTGGTATAGCTTTGAACAGATTGCCTGGTCATAACATACTTAACAGCTCTAGCTTTAATACAGATAGAGCCAATCAAGATAAATACATGCTTTAAAGAAAGAAAATGACTGCTAAAGTTCTGCTAGGAAAATGCAGCACATTATCTAAGTACCAGAATGGCACATAATGTCTTTCCCAATTTTGCATTAACTCATTAACAATCCTGGATACTAAACCATGCCTGCTTGATACCAATATACCTCCACAGATGTGCTGCCTTTCCTCCACACCACTCCCTACCGGATAACCAGACACACATTTAATTACCAGCAGTCTGCTTCCTTGGTGTTGTGCGAATGGAGTACTCAAAGTCAGGCACTGCCCTGCTGCTCAGGTGAAGGTGGTAGTTTCTTGCTTCATCCAGCAAATCCCTACATTTTAGATTCTGCTTGACAATCTCTTCCTTTGCCACAACGCCCATAAGGAAACAAATGGGCAAGAGAGGCAGCCGTACCTGACAGGAATGAACACAGTTGGAGAAACTGGCTGAACTGGCTGAGTCTCACCAGTCACAGTGACGCACATGTAACAGATGGCAGCTCCTGGGCCAGCTGGCAGCCCCACGCTCCTCACTGAAGAGAGCGGCTTGCATGGTTTTTTCCCAGATAACAGCGATATGAACAGTTCTTTTGAGTGACAAATGTTTGCTACAACCATTTGCACTTAAGCAACAGTGGAGAACTGTCCCTTGGCCCAGGCTGTGTGGGAGAAGTGCAGCTGCCTGTGCAGCAGCTGAACGTGCCAGGTGTGATGCAGGCAGCACCTGTGACTTCACCAGGGTAGCCTGTGTCAGGTTAGTCTGCAGAGGGTATGAATTTTTGGGTCACTGCTATGCTAATGTAAGGAGGGCTTATGCTAGAATGGTTCATTTTCTTTGGCTGGCAAGTCAAAAAGGAAACAGTTGTCAGCATGACCTAAGTGCCTATGAAGTACGTATTGCTAGCGCAGTAACACCTTTCTTTGACGCAGACTTGACAGACTTTGAGATTTTAAAAAAAACGTTGAGAGCCAATTGTTTCCTTCTCTAAATCCTTTCTGTCATTTATTTCAGCAAACCTTTCATTTTTCCTTGTGAGAGAAACAGTACAGAAGCATATGAAGTATAATCAGGGGCACAGGTAGGACCAGTGTTAGTGGGGGGAACTGAGGTAAACCTCCACCTGATTTCTTAAGGTTTGGAGTCAATGCTGCCAAGCAGCTCAGTTAGCCCAGTGGTGAAGTCCAGTATCTCCAGGGCTTCTCAGAGCAGCAGGATGGTGCTGTTATATCACTGACAAGGTCCCTGCCTTCAAATAAGCATGTGTCTCTACCAGTTTTTCCTTACCTACTTGCTTTCAGTCCCACTTCTTCCTTTACTTTGGCCCGGCTTATTTTAGGCTGCTTTAAAGCACCACCGTAGCCCTGCTGACAGGCTCCTGAGGTTAGTGATGTGGTAAGAACTCCAGGCTGACACACTCAGAACCTGATTATGACAGCAAAACCCATAAGGCTGATTATGATGTGGATAAAAACTGTTGATAAGCCCAGTCATGTTTTCAGCTAGCAATAATGTCCAAGTCAACTGATGGCTCCATGGCTCCATATACTCTGGCAAATAACCCATATGTACAGGAAGGGCTTTACTTTTTTATTGCTTCAATACAGATTTTGGTTTCAATACTGGTGTATATATATATATATATATAGATACTCTGGTATCAATAGAATGAAGTTGTTAATCTCATGTGATAGCACAACTGGGCAATAATACTCTTTTTTATATATATATTACCTGTAAAGTTAATTATAATGCACTAAAGAAGGGCTTTTTGTACCAAAAACCTCATGCTAGTCTAGATGAAACTGAAGGTTTTTGGAAGACAGTTAATAAACCATCTTTTACTAGGAAATGTGAAAAATGACACATGAAGACACTGACAGCAGCATCTTAGTGGACCTCTCCTCACTCATGTAACACCAATATTAGCAACTGAGCCAAATGCAAAGTATTCAGTGACAACTGAAACCACACAGCTGATCCTACTAAGACACATGGGGCATTCTGCAGTGCATAGCATGCACCCCAATCCTCCCCAGCACAGGTTCCCCATACCTGTCTCAAATATTGTATTTTAAACTCCATAACCAGCATATGTGGAACTTGAATAACTGAAGTACCTAATGCTTTGACAGGAGGAGGTCTGATGGGTGTCCAAATAAGTTCAGCTGAATGACCTTTTGATACCTGTGTTTCTTTCAGAAGCAGTGAACTCGCATCAACTCTGGACAATTGAACTGCCAACTCCTTTTGACTCCTACAGATAACCAGTGCTAGTCTAGCGAGCATTAAAAGGTCTATCATGTTTCCTGGCCTACTTGGAGGGCTGACATATCTTAGCCTTTTTTTAGTTAAACACATGAAATATTTTAGAAGCATGACTTGATGTGACATGTCTCTGTTACAGTTTTACTTTCCTAGCCATGTAAAAAAACTCAGTAGTTTTGACTCCTTTCTTAAGTACAAATACGTGCCAGCAAAGGCAGTAGTTTCAGGCTGTAGGACTGTCAAATCAAGAGAAGCAATGGCTTGCTCTGTTTCAAGTAAATCTAAGAAGTTTCTGCTCTAGCACAGATGTAGCTTTTTGTTGACTCTCCCCCCAGCCGTGAGCACAAAGTGAGTACTCTTCTCTGTACAGAAACAGGAGAATACCACTTTTTCCTGATATTCCAGAGATCTAACCTGCTTCCATGGTCAGCTCACAACTGTGAACACCAGATGAGGCACCAACAGCTGAGAACATTTTTCGTCTTGAGATCTACCCAAGTGCAAACAGTGGATTATACAACTAAACCACTGACGAGACAGGCACGTGGTGCCTCGGTCTGCCCTACCTGTGCAAGTATTTCATCCAGCCACATGGCGTGATGCTGTGGATTGGCCAGCAGCCACTTGATAGCAGCATTGTAAACTTGCTTTTCATTTTCAATATTTAGGTCACTGGAGGACAGCAGTTTATGGAGGTGCTGTGGTGACACGCTCACGAAGTCCTCGCACTCCATGACCTCCGCGAAATGCTCACAAGCGAACTGATCGGCCATGTCCATCAAGTCAATGCGGTTGTGGCTCTCGGCAAACGCCCTGACTGCCAGGCAGTTGGAGGGGTGGAAGTGCAGCTTCATGTATTCACAGCAGGCCTTTGCCACCAGTTCCACCTGCAGAATGCAGGCAGCGTACAAGAGGGGCTGGACGTTGTCCACCGTCAGCGTGAGCCGCGAGGAGTACGCGAACTTCACCAGGTCTTCTATCGCGTCGCCGTCGAAGTCCCTGATCTCGATCAACTTCTGCTTGGCCTCAGCCATTTCTGAAAGAAACATGGCTCTGAAGTAAGGGATGACACAAGCTAGAACCAGCTTGTGGCAGGAGATAAGCTTTGAACCGACCTGAAAGAAAAAAAAGAACAAAAAAACCCTCCATTTTACTGTAATGTCAGTTTTGGCTGTGAAAAAGATGAACGGTTAAGCTGAAATAAGAATTCTGGACTCGATGTGCATTAAAGCTACTGTATTTCGTTGAAACAAATTAACTTTACTTGCCCTGTACTTCTGGAATTACATCCATGTATCCCAGGCAGATCTAAGTTGTAACTTGGCCACCAGAATAGCGCAAAGCCATAAAACAAGGAAGCAGCAGCACTGATGCACTAAACTTGCCTTTCTTTAAAAGCCACATGAAGCATCCTTAGGAACATTCTAGATGCATCTTGGAGACAGAAGGAGACTGCTAGGCACTTGTTTTATGTGTATTCAGAGACTTTAAGGGGGGGGGAAATTGTAAAGTGACATTTTTAGACTACTTAATTTGAACTTCTGGACTTTTACTACTATCAAGAAATTGATAATGATCTTTATAGTAGCAAATTCATGTAAAACCATAGTAATAACAGTTATTACAGGGATTATTAAAAGTTACCAATCACTTCAAGATTTTTAGAATCTGTTAGCCACAAAAGATAGTGTATCCCCATAGAGACAAGGTATTTTTCAAAACTCTGATCAGAAAGCACAAAATAGGCTTTTCAGGTACTAAATTCTAGAATTCAATTACATTTAAAAAGAATGTAAATACTGAAGGTAAACGAACAATCCACTATTTGTGTTAACAGGAGTGCCTTCTTACAGCCTTTGTCATTCTGCAGTCTGCACTACCATAAAGGTATGGCTCAGTTAAGCAACCATTTTCCCTGGTGGACTAAAATTGCGTGTTCATTTTCAGATGAAGGTGTTACAGTGACCTGTCTTGCAATTTAAAAAAAAAAAAAGATACTAAATTAAAAAGGGTAATTTGGACCTTTTTCTAGCTCTGATTCAATACACAATTGCTCTAACCTTTTAAAAAGTGTGTATGATCAACACAAGTGTAAACTACCTGGTAAGCAGTGAGTTGAGTACAGAAAGCAAAGACACGTGAAAGAGTACACAGATTAAAAATGAGGCAAAGATGAATGGCTCAGTGTGATCAAACTAGATCACCCCAGAAGGAACAGTTCAGACCTACCAAATGAACAAAAAGCAAACCAACAGGAGGAGAAAAGCAGATGCTATCATCTGACACTCTCCGCCTTCTAACAGCCCTCTAACACTGTTCATATGACAGCAGCAGTACAGTGAAATTCCAGGATTTAGCTCGTAGGAGCAGAGGAAGTCTCCCTGTGTGCTCCCACTTCTTATCACTGTTATAGCATCACTCCAACTAACTACAGGACCGATGCAAAAAGATCCCACCAGCTGGTCTGCTGTATCAGGGAAAGCTCCCAAGCTATTCTCACCTTCACATATTTTTATTCTGCCCATCCTCCCACTCTCTAATTAAACCTTTCTTTTGAATTAAATGGCTTTATTATGTTACCCAAATCTGCTTAATATTCAAATATCTATTCTTGGTATTTTGAAATCTGAGTTCCCCTTCAGTTATTAACTATCATATTTAAGAGCCAGCAATTGGTCTGACAACAGCAATGCCAGAATTGCTATCGCAGGTCACACACAAAAGCAGAAAGTTCAGTAGAAATGTAATTATTCTTAAAACATGACAAATGCCTGAGCGCTACAAAAAGAAAAATCAAGCCCTCCAGAAAATTCCAATTCAAGATAACAGTTACCAGCTACATGAAAATCACTGATTTAGGAAGCTGTACAGTAAGATATACATGGGTTGCTTTAGCCTTCACTGGAAGATGAGTCATGCAATATAATATTCTTAAATTACCAAAGTAGCTCCACATAGATAATACAAATGAGCATTAAAACAAGCCTAACTTGGGGGAAGTTAAACTGCAGCCACAGTAAAGTATATTTTCCAAGCCAAGTTTCCCTAGCAGGAGTATACATTTAACTATGTTTATAAAGTAAGACTTTCTGCCTTTTTTTCACAAGGGTAGGTAGAAAGGAAAGGCAGGTGAGTATGAGGTCAACAAGAAAAGAGATGAGGAGGGTTGTTAAGAGTTCTGACGTGGACCTTCTTCCCCAAAATGCCTTTAAAATGACTGATGTAAATAGACCTGATGATGAGTGCTCAGCCCAATTGTTTCACGGCTCTCAAGCTACCCTGAGCAGCTTCAGCATTGTCATTCAGTGTCCTGTGGGCACTGTTATGAGCCACTGGACCTACTGCACTGAGTGCCTGCTCCGTGCCTGGTGACAGGCAATTTAGTACCTGCTGTGAAGCAGAACAGGAAAATGTTCTTGCTTATTACTCCTGTTGTCTGCTGGGACAGAAGGGAGAAAAACCTCTTCCTCTCAGAGATTTCCACTGTCTCCCAAGCATTTCAGAAAGATGAGATGCCTCCTGGAGACCAGGTTTACCAAGGACACACATCTGTCCAGGATTTTCCCAGTTCATATTTAACAGTCAAAGTGGCAGACAAACAATTGCTCCTAAAGGCATCCATTATCATTTGTTCTTGGTTTAGGAACTATGCTCCATCTCTTTTTCTTAAATCTTGCACTAGTAAGATGTCTAGCTAAGCAATACCTAATATTTGTAGGTGCTGATACCCACTGTTATGGATGCTAGATACAAATTTATTGGGATCAGGATATAAGGAACACACAGCTGAGTTACAAATAATGTATTAAAACAATGCTATGCAAGAATCATATAACTTGCTTCTTCTTCCTCCTCCTCCTTTATTCTTTGATCAGCTGTAGAACATAACTGTCTGGGTTTTTTTCTTTCTTTCTTTGAGAATGCTGGAAGTCAGATTTGTTCCAGAAATCCTGTTTGCTGGGAAGGATGTAGCAAAACAATACACAATGCAGAAACAAGAGACGGAATTGGAGATGAAAGTGAGTTGAGAACAAAGAGGCTACAAGGAGCTGAAACTGCACAGTAACATACTGATCAACTGTGGGACCTTGCTTAGAAGGCAAGTTGGATGAGGTCAAAGTCATGCACTTCACCTTAAATGTTTCAATTTCAGCTGTAAACCTCCTAAATAAGAAAAAAACCATCAGCATATCTAGAGATGCCTCATATGCAACAAGTATTCTGTGGTTTCCACATCCCTACCCAAATTCACAGCCACCTCCAGCACGTTTATTTGTAGCTTTATCTTCAGAGTGTTAAATGCAATGGATTCGTGACAAGTTATCACCTTCAGTGTAACGTCGCAGAGCTCTCCAGCTTCAAAGAAGTGAAGAAGAGAGCTGTGAAAATCCTTCCAAGCCTCATTTGCCTCAAATACAAAGACGTCATCTTCACCATCACTGTTGGAAGGCCTAGTTTGCTGCTGTTGCTGCCGCCTTTTTCCCTTTATCAGATGTTGTTTTGCCTGCTCAGGGACCATGGATTCTGAAGCCATTGGCTGTTTTTTCTCTCACTGCATGAATCTTCAAAAACTCCTGCCAAGACAAAATCCAGCCCATCAGAAGTTAAGTCCTAAAATGCAGTTCTGTCCACCTTCCTGTTTAAAAAAAAAAAAAAAAAAAAGAAAATGAAACATTAGGTAATGCTAGTACATTAACACTTTGATTACATGTTATAAATACTACTTATGATCTTACTTGGGGAAGATGAGAGGAGAAGGGGCAAAAAAACCCAACTCAGAGTCAAGAATCCTATGAAGGTACCTTTAGGAAAAGCCATTGTTTGTGAACTTGTTGCCCACACTTCTTGAAAAAGACATGAAAAAGGCAAAGATGTATCATAGAATCACAGTTTCTGTTGGAAGGAACCTTAAAAATCATCCAGCTCCAACCCTTTGCCATGGGCAGGGACACCTCCTACTAGACCAGGTTGCTCAAAGACCCATCCAACTTGGCCTTGAACACTTCCAGGGATGGGGCATCCACAGCTTCTCTGGGCAACATGTTCCTGTGCCTCACCATCCTCACAGTAAAGAACTCCTTCCTAACATCTAATCTAAATTTCTCCTCTTTTTTTAAAAAAAAATCCCCCTTTGTCCTATGACTATCTGCCCACGTAAAATGCCACTCTCTCTTTTTTATAACCCCCCTTTAAATACTGAAGGTACTCGAGAGTATATGGAGTAGCATGTTCTTCTCTCACACTGGCTAGATCTGGTTTTCACTTTTTTAAATTGATTTATGATGCATTCATTCTTCATTCTACACTGAGAGTTGATGATTGCTGTAGTTCAGTGATTTCCGCTCATGGACTCTGGCGTTCCAGGAAGTGGACTGACCAAAGGAACAAAAAATTCTTCTACAATAAAAATTTAACTCACGTGCCTGGGAGCAGAACTGATTTTCCTCTGGGCTATTTTGAAAGTGTCCATGTCTCTTACAGAATTTACAGCTCTTCATGCCTCAGTACCAGAGAAAAAGCAGGAAGTGACCTGAGGCGACCATACTCATTTCTGCTGTGGGTCACAGGGTTGTTGTCAGCTCCGTGTCCTGTGTGGTGGACAGGGCTGGTGGCTGCACTGGGCCAAGCAGGTTAAAGCAAGATCAAACATCCCTAGAGTATTTGCCTGTGGTGCTTTAAGCAAGGTAAGTATTACCTTTAAAAGTTATCTAAGAGAAAGACCTTAATTCTTCTAAAACCCCAAACTCGCTCAAAGATATTATGGACCATGGGATATATATACAGTTTATAGCAATAAATACTTTTTTTCTGCTGAAAACTTAGCTTCCATTATGCCAGATTTGGCAAATTACTATACTAAGCTGTTTTTCTAGTTTGTTAGGCTATTTTGATTCTCAAATTAATCCTCCACTACTGGTATTCACCACCTTTGCTTTGTTTAACATGCCCTCCAAGGAAGTCACTACTAGCATTGGGATATGAAGCTTCAAGCACAACCTCCTGAAGTTATAAAAATTAATATGGACAAACAAGAGGAAAAAAACAAGAGAAGCTGAAATGCTGTAGGTGTTGAAGAGCATATTGTGTCATTCCTTCATCTCTAGCCTACACTTCCAGGGAACTCATGCTTATTTTGGTCTTTGACTGACACTCTCACTTCAACAACCTAACAATTTTTACAGCGAGTAGAAGCGCTGCTTTCGACTGCCACTGACTCCTAAATGACAGTTCACAGCTCCCAAGTCATGAGGTTTTTCCATCTGACACATATGCTACATTTATCCTCATACCTTAACTGCAATCGCACATATACCTTCCCCAATTATTCTGTGTCTCATTATAAAAAAAGGCTGATGGCTACATTTTACCTGCTCTGGGTATGCCACTGTGAACACCAATATCAAACCTGTGAGTCTTCAGATAAATCAGTGCTGTTGGGGTCAATTTTTTTATGCTGTAAATGAATTAAGCAGTAACACATAAGCCAAACACAACTGATTTTAATCAAAGCTCTTCATCCAAATCTGATGCCTATAGCAAACAAAGCTTTTGGAGATGCTCTGCCCTGTAAAAGAAGTCGAGTGCATATTTGGATTTATATATTTGATACATACTAAGTACACACTTGATACTGTAGGAGAAGAAACTGGAAATCACACCAGAGGAAACCAATGCCATTACTGAGGCACACAGCCATAGATCACATGGGTGAGGGAGCCCCCAGTATTGCAATATCAAATATGTGGATGGGAACATGAGAGCAAGTCACTTACTGCTCCTCAGGTAAAAAGAAGTCTCTGCAACATGTCAAAAATAAACATATAATATAACCTTAGGGAAATATTCAGATAGCAGTAGTCTGACACACTTCAGTTTTCTTTTTAGACTTTGTGACAGATAATAATATTTAAGATAAGATTTTAATTCTTCCCCCAAGTCACCAATTTAGGAGCATCTTGTTTCTGTGACACATCTCAGTCATGCAAGTCTTTTTAGATACGTATCCCCAAATCCTCCACTGGTCTTAATTACAGCACCTCACAGGTTGAGTCTTCAAACAAATCATCATCTGCTATGGAAAGTACCAGCTGCAGCCATGTTTCATTTGCAGAAAATACTGGCTTGGGCTCATCTGAATGTTTAGCTACAGGCATTTTCTGTTCTCAGATTTTAAATGAAAAAGAAATGAATTTTAGTAGCACTTGAATCAAGATACTAAACTCTGGAAATCAGGAGGTCACTCTGAAGTCAAGGAGGTCAGTGTATTTCAGCTCCACAAACAAAGAGAGAAGAGCCATTTACAGATCATTCATAAAATCATCTGTTATTCCTTGTAAACAACTGTTTGACACTTGCCATGAAGTAGCAACTGTCTGAATAAAAAAAAACCAAACCACACAATTACAGCTCACCATTGTTTGCTGAGAGCAAGTCAGCAATTTTCTTGTTCAAGTTAAATATTTCGGTGATGTCTGCTGTTCTCAAGAGGGCAGCTGTTCCAGACCCCAAAGTTCGTGTTCTGGTTGTTAGGGGTTCTGTTCGTGTTCTGGTCTCCAGGCAAGGGACTGAGGATCCCCTCTTCCCTATTCCCTGTTCCTCAAACTTACAAAAGCAAGCAGGGATGGGGGACAGAGCACAAACACATTATCTTCTAACTGCTGCAATTCAGATAACAGTAACATCCTAAAGTGAAGTGATTTTGATTCAGACATTCTAGTTCAATCTGAAACAAAAGCAAGCAGGGATGGGGGACAGAGCACAAACACATTATCTTCTAACTGCTGCAATTCAGATAACAGTAACATCCTAAAGTGAAGTGATTTTGATTCAGACATTCTAGTTCAATCTGAAACTGAATCAAGTGTAAAATTACTCATGTCACATAAAGTACTTATGTTCAAGAGAGGTATAATACCTCAGTTTTGAAGTAAAAAGAAATTGTAGACATTGGACATGAATAGCATTGCTCTGTTTACCCCTATCATGAAATTAAAACCCCAGGAATCCTGCCCAACAAGCCAACCTAGATGTTGGAGTACATGGCCCACTTCCCCTGCCAGGTACCTTGGGAGACAGTGTCCCAGAAAGACAGGCTCATCCTTATTCTTTCTCTGACACATGGAAGGAAGACACTTCTGTGATACAACACAAACAAAAAACCAAGACTCCCAGTATAACCAAAACTAGGCAGCATTCACATGAGAGGAATTATGATATCCGTAAATCCAATGCTCTGTATAATCAGTGGTACCGAAGCTGGAAAAAAAGGGGGCAGAAGTCAAGGAGAAATCAAGACACAGATGAAATTTCACCAACTACCCTGTACGTAATTTTGCTCACCCACCCACAAGACGAACTAAAATCGCACCATGATCTGCGCAGAGCAGGGCAATCAGCCTCACTCAGAAAACAAAAAGGCCTTTTAATTGAATAAGATAAGAAATTTGCCTTTTGCAAATGCAAAGTTTGTAGCTCCATGAGCAGGGAGGCTTTGGAAGTGACTCAAGTACAAACAGAGACTGCATGCATATAAATATACACAAGTTCCTACGTGTGGCTGTGCAAAACTACCTTGTCTGATACAGAGCCTGTGAGTGTGTGTGGGTAATGAACCACTGGTGCTGCTGACCACGAGGTTAGATAAGCACAGACAGGGACAAGATCTTCTCCAGTTTGATCCAGCCAACAGAACAAGTCAAGCTGTTGTCTTGTTCTAAGAAAACAGGAACATTTGGAAAGTGGGCAGCTGGCAGAGCTAAGGAAGAGACAGAGGGAGAGAAGTGGGAAGGGCAAGAGGCAGCTGCAGTGCAAACTGCAGACAAGCAGCAGCTCTGGCAGGGACTGCATAAGCAGCTGTTCACTGTTCAGTCTGGTTACAGATCCATCATCAAGAAGGAACATGGGGGAAAAAAGGATAGACAAAATACTGTAGAAAATTCTCAGTGCTCTTCCCTTCTCCATTCATCAATTCCGTCAAAGATGACGTATAAACTTTATAAAAAACTGTTCAGATACCCATGCCAATTAGGTCAAATCAGACAAGACTTGATGGTTTTCCCAAACATGGGAAAGTTCAGGTCACATACTGTATCACAAACCTAAGCCACTGTACTTTTCAGCAGAAAGTTATTCAACAGAAAGAAAAAAAAAGTCAGAAACCGCACATCTAACTGGTTTAGCTTGTTTAAAACCACTAGGCTTCCTTTTCTAGAAATTCATAAAACAGATTCTTAGACAACACTAATATACAATTTCTAAACCCTTTCAGCATTTCAAAGGTTCTTTGTAGCACAACCTGACATTATTGTTTTGTGTTGTTACACAGGTAGTTCAGCAAACACTGAAATGGGCACAGCTGGCACCATCTTTCATCTGCTTCTATAACCAAAACCCCACCAGTGCTCTTTCTTAGAAGTCCCCACAAGGACTGCTCTTTCTCGGAAAAATGCAACAGAAGAGGTGCTTTGTAGAGCATGAAAAGCACAGTCAGATAAAATCTTATTTTGGAAATAATTCTGCCTAGCAGTCCCTTAAGGCTGTTTTGAGACAGCATCTTCCCTGCTCCCTTCGATTGAATGCTCCAGGAAGTTCTATTGAGGTTTAATCCCAGTTTCCATCAAACATCAGAAAGGCCATCTGTCTTCTGGGATTTATGGAATGACAGGCTGACAATTTTGCTCAATTTTCCATTATGAAAAACAACCAACCAACCTAATATGCCATGATTTATTTATGCTTGATTTATTTTTGCTTCAGAACAACCAGCAAAATCCCTCAGAAGCCACAAAACAGCAAAGGATTCTGCTTTGCAGATACAGGTATAACTAAGATGGGGTTTATTTATGCAATGCAACCTTGGGAATACCCAAAAAGTAGAACACAAAAGAAAAAAACATTGCAAATCAGTGCAATGGGAGTACAGTGAAGTGTTGATAGATATATTAAAAAATTAACTAGCATATTTCATTCATAAGAACACAAAACAGACCCTTACCAAGGGGAGGCACTATTGTCTTCTCTGATGGACCTGATTAAAAATAGCAATAGTCTAATGGTCTCCACGGCAGTGTTTAGTTCAGCCATTCCTGGGAAGTATTAACAGAGAGCAACATTATTTCTAAGTCATTTGCCAGCTGCCCTTTATCCTGGGCATGTAAATTAAGGCATGGTAAGCAGCAGAGCATTCCAGAGGTGCAGCCAAACTGTTTCCCAGACACTCACCACCCCCTTCTTCCCAGAACTCTCTGCCTTAGTTGCCAACCATCATCATATTCTCTCACCTAGAGCTGAAATTCACTGAGGCTGCAGCCTCATGTTATACACTCACAAGTCAAACAGCTCAAACCACAAAGCAATATCATGTTCCTTTTGTTCCAGAGCTGTAAGGCTCTTCGAAATCTGTTTGAAATCAAGAGGGGGCAGCGGTAATACAAGACAAAAGGCTTCACAACTCAAAACGCTACAACTACTGATGCAGGAAATTATTATTATGAAATCTGATCCTTGAAACCTGCTGGGGAAGAACCAAGGCACTGGCTAATGTGGTACTGTACTGCCCTGTACCAAATTACTGGCAGTCATTACACAACGACTGTGTGTCTTTGTGTGACCACACTGATTAAATTTGCTTTTACAAACAAATGGCCAACTAGAAAACTGGATGCCAGGCTACTGACATGCTGCTAACAATTTATAAAACAAACGAGGTCACGAGTATAGTGCACAGAAACCCCAGGCACAATCTTGCCATGTCACAACACAGACACAGAGATTATAGGGGAATCAGCATAAACTGACTCAAAAATCTCAGACCCAGCTGCTTACAGAAGGTGTCTGAGCCTTTTGAAGCGTCACCTACATTACAAGCAACCAAAGCCACATGTGACAGGCCTGTTGTTGTTGTGGTTTTAGTTTAACATTTGATGAGTTATTTTACCTGCTGTGGTACTTTTCTATAGTCACACGTGTGATTTGTTTCTTGACTGCGCTTCCAGAAGCCTTTGCAACAGGCACAGAAAGCCAGGTATCTCTGAGGTTTTTAACTCTTTCAACTGCAGTATATGTAGGAATGGCTTAGGCAAAGGAGGTAACACAGATCACAGAATATTCCGAGTTGGAAAGGACCTACAAGGATCACCGAGTCCGACTTTTAAGTGAATGGCCCCTAAGGGGGTCAAACCCACACCCTTGGCATTATTAGCACTGTGCCCTAACTAACTGAAACATCCGGATCATATGAACTAGGAGGCCCTACTAAGTTTGTGAACTACTTCCTCTTGGATAGTACCTACTCTTATGGATAAGAATCTGATTAACTGATACCTCCCAGCATCCGTCAAGCAAATGGCTTGAGTGGAGAAGGGAAGGTGGAACCTATCAAAGCAGGAAGGAAACCGAGGCAGGCAATATCAAGAGTTAGAGGAGCTGAGACATCTGAAATTCTCATTTATTTGAGAAGCAAGGAGAGGCTGGGAACTCCTGAGGCTCTCCCCAGTACCAACAGGCAATTTCTTGCTGGTTTTAACACAAGAAATATTTGTCTTGGAGTAAGCTAAGCGACTTGTTATCCCTTACAAGATGTCAACAGCGAGCCGGCCAGGGCACCAGATCCTCGGGCTGTGGTCTCTAAATGGAGCGTCTCGAAACGCGTGGAATCCTGGCTCAGTTAATTTTTTTAATTAATTTTTGTCTCCTCCTCGAACCGTGTGGCAGTGACGGCTCTCTCTGAGGGCTCCACGGCAGCACAAACAAGCCCCCTGACGCCGAGCAGAGCCCACCCCGGGCAGCGGAGCCGCCCCTGCGCTGCCTGGGGCACAGCCCAGTCCCGGTAGCGATTCCAGGTTAATCGGAATGGCTCGGCTTCGCTCCCCGGCGCCGGGAGCGGCCCTCCCGGGAGCGGCCCCGGTCCGTCCCGCCCCGGCGGCGGTGCCCGAGGGGTGAGACCCCACGGGTGCTGCGGTGCTGCGAGGACGGGGAACAACCGCGGCACCTCCCGCGCCGAGGCGGCGCCCGGGACACCTGAGGGGAACCCGAGGGCAGGGGGCGCGTTACATAAGGGCAGGGGAGCCGCCATGGCGGCGGGCGCGGTACGAGGGCGAGGGGCGGCGGGGGAAGGGCCCGGGAAGGGGCTGCAGCCCTCTCACCGCGGGGGAAGAACGGGAGGTGGGAGGTAGGAGCCGGGGCCCCCCGGGGCCGCCCCGCTGCCCGCCCGGTGCCCGCCCCGCTCACCTGCGCTGCTGCCGCTGCCGCCGCCGCCGCGGCGGGTCTGGCGGAGCGCCCGCCCGCCCGCCGCCAGGGGGCGCGCCCCGCGCATGCGCCGCGAGGTGAGGGGGGGAACGTGGGGGGGGCGAGAGCTTCCCGCCTTCCCGGCCCGCCCAGAGCCCCGTGAGGGGAACGGAGAGTCCTCTGTCTTCGCTGGGCCTTGAGTGCGGAAAACAAGACTTTCCAGGCCCGTCGGGAAACAGAACGCAAAACTGGCACATGAATAAAGGCATCCGAGTGCCGCTGAAGCACGTGCCCCACGGGCACCCGGCGCCGGACAGTTTCCACAGCGAAAATGATCCTGTTGGCTTGGGGTTCTTTCACAACCATGTTTCCCTTCTCTGGTTCAATGCTTATCTCCTTTCCTTTTGGCGCGTAAAAAAGCTCCCCTTCAATAGGAAGCAGAAAGAGGCAGAGCAATTCCCTCACCCTGTCCCCCCAACTAGTGTAATCTCCTCAGGAATAATCTTCCCCCTTCTTGAGGGGGAGCCATAAGAGGAGCGGCTGAGGGCACTTGGTCTGTTCAGCCTGGAGAAGAGGAGACTGAGGGGAGATCTCACTGCAGTTACAACTTCCTTGTGAGGGGAAGAGGAGGGGCAGGCACTGATCTCTTCTCTGGGGGGAACAGTGACAGGACCCAAGGGAATGACCTGAAATTGTGTCAGGGGAGGTTTAGGTTGAATATCAGAAAAAGGTTCTTCACCCAGAGGGGTGGTTGGGCACTAGAGCAGTCTCCCCAGGGAAGTGGTCACAGCACCAAGCCTGCTGCTTCAAGAAGTGTTAGGACAACACTCTCAGGCACATATGGGATTCTTGGTGCTGTCCTGTACAGGGCCAAGAGTTGGGCTTGATGATCCTTGTGGGTTCCTTCCAAGTCAGAATATTCTGTAATTCTGTAATACAGATCAGAGTGATTCTGCTTCAGATTTTCCAGGAACTGTTCTCCATAAATTCAGAGAGAGAAGGATGTAATAGGGAGAGGGAAAGGCTATACCAGCTCTTTTCTCCCCACCTGTCCACCAGCTCTGGTCTCTACAGCGTATATATACATGTCTCACGCAGAGAGACACCTACACCCTCTCCACTGCCAGAATACATTTCCTCATTACACACTTTCCCCCTGGCTTAATTCAGTCTCTTTCTTTGTAGTGCCCCTCTGTGCCTGTGGAGCAATAATGGCAAGTCTTCATCCCACTTTGCTTAAAGCTTGACTTGAGAGCTTGAAAAGAATTGGTCAAGAATGTTTTACAGCCTGATAAAATCAAATAAAGACCTTATTAAAGAAATACATGCCCTGGGAAGCACGGAGGCTTCCTTGCACAAAAGCAAGCACAGCTTGTGAACTGAAAATGCCCTCCACCTCCAGCCCCACAGCTAAATAATTCATTAGATTTTCCAGTTCTATACTGCAGTGTTGAAAGCTGGACTCACAGTGCATGCCAAGCTCACCCCTACAGATGTGCATAATAATTCTAGGATTTCCTTTTTTCCTGAATCCAACACAATTCTGCTGAAAAGCAGGAAGGTGTTTTATAAATCCGTGCTTATCTGAGAATGAATGGCTGGAGGTTTACAATTCCACACAGAATACACATATACTGTGTTTAGGAGATGCACATTTATTTTGGAGCCCTTAAAGGCAAAAATGTCCAACTAAATAACGCTGCTATTGGACCTGACCTGTTTGAGAAAGAGCCAGAAAATTATCCATAAAGAATATGGGAATCATTGTTATTATCTAAAATGTATCTGTATAGTGGGCTTGGGTTAATATTCCACACCCCTGTGCCATTTATTTCATAGAGGTCAGCATGAGCGAATATTCAGTAGCAAACAGCTGAATTGATTATATGGTATGCTTATCAAAACTGCACTAATTCTGATCAACCCAGCACATTATAGGGTTTGCACAAATACATCTCAGAAAATTCCTGTTCAGCAGTGTTTTAGTGGCTATTTTTCTGAACACAGAAACCCAAGGAATCCTCCCCAAATTCACCCATGTGTTCGAAAGCTACTAACCTGTGCGTATGTGGCAGACGTTGCTGTCCATGAGCAGTTTCCCGAAGGCTGTGATGAGACAAAGCGACCCGTAAAGACTTGTGTTTTGCAGATTCCTCCTTCCTTTCTATCACAATGCACTCTTTTATTCTCTGTTGGCCTCATAGAGAATGAGTTTCTACATCATATGCCACAATGTCCAGCCTGGCAGCAGCTTTAGTTTTCCAGGTGGGTTCTCTTCAAGATGAAAGCTTGACACTTAAGAAGTGTCAAGGGAGGAAATCTTACCTGCCAGCTTCCCAAGATGAGTGCTGGGGATGAGGGAAGTTTGTCGCTCTGCTCTGTGGAAAGATAGGAGTCGTCAGTGGGCAGACTGCTATTCCAAATGAGAAACTAATGCCTTCGAGCTCTTATTTCTGACTTTGAGAGTTAGTGATACTGCTTGTAATGTGTTGTGGCTCTCATCCAATACCCCTGGAAACCACCAAAAAGTCTTCCACTAACTTCAGTAATAGTTTGATCAGGCCTTCAACCCACAAAGTTGCCATTGTTTCGTTTTGCTGCCATTGGGTTCGTCGGAGTGCTGGCTCCTGCCCTCAGATACTTATATCAACTAAGTCATTGCAAGTAGTGATTCCCGTGGGTGAGGTATAATCTCTAATGACAGAAAGAGGTTACCTTTTCCTGAATGTTGGGAGACTTTAGATTCCTGGTGATCTATTGTGACTGTTATAGTCAAAGCTTTTCCTCTGTTTTGTTAGTAAATGTAAAATAACAATTTGAATGGGTTCTCCTAAAGACTTGAGTTTAAAACTATAGTGGCTCATTGGACGAGCAATTGTAGAATCAGAATATGTTTTCTAGAAAATGCAGTTAAAGATTGCACTGGTTGGGTGCAATCTTTTAGGAAGTGGAAATCTGATTAATCTCCCAATGTATTTAATTAAGTTTATTCAGCCATCTCCTTAACTCTGCAACAATAACGTAAGAATACAGAAATGTGTGTACTATGCTGCATGAAACATATGAGCAGTGAAAGGGACCTCAGGCTCCCAAGATTTGGACTGTGTCTGAAGTTAGGCAATGTAGAGCCTATGGAATTCAAGGTTTTGTAGCAACACTAATGATCATTTGAAATAATTTACCACAAAAGAATTAAACCTGGATGGTTGCTAAGCTACTTTGTTGATGAATGTGCTTTAAGAGATTTATGAGACTTTAATACTTTATCTCCTTGCTGTAAAGGCAATTAATTTAAAAATATTGCTATTCTCTGATTGTAACAATTCTAAAAAAAAAAAAAAAAAAAAAGAGGGCCAATTATGAAAAATTATATAGCTGGATTTTTGGGTGGATGTGTGGATTTGTTGGGGTTTTTTTCACCTATTTCAGAAGGAAAAAAGAAGTTCACCTGATCCAAAAGACAAATCATGACCTGGCAGCTCAGAGACAGGACATAAGCTTGGGTGAAAAGGTTCTTTGGGTGTTGAGTGACCGTGGCTTTGTGTGCTAAGCTCAGCTAAATCAGTGTGTGTCAGATATGCCTACAAGGTGAGACACACAGGAGCATAAACACCCATCTTGAGGAGGCTTTGAATAGAGACTGAATGCCAGGTAGTTTTGTCTTGCCAAGGAGGTGTCATACACTGAGTAGAGGTTTGCACCATGTCACTTGGCATCATCCAGAGATCCTGGGTTAGCTGACGAATGAGGAACAACCCCTTTCCCAAACATGTTACTGCAGAACAGCACTAACACAGCTGTACCACTGCCAGGCTCCAAGGTAGCAGATAATCATGAGGCTATCCATATATGCAAAACATCTCTTTCTCAGTGCCTTTGGTAGCTCAGCACTGCACGGCACAGGCGCTATCTAAAATTGGCTTTAGATTTTTGAGGATCATGCTTTAGGATTTGTCTGCCTGTGATCCATATTATGTTTTTAAGCACTTAATGTGCTTAATGTAACTGTGTACACAGTGTCCCAAGTTTCATGACTTCTGAGGCTGCAGATGTAAAAACAGCGTTGTGTGTGACAGGGCAAAACTGAAACAACCCATGGCTTGAAAAATAACTATCTGAAAAAATCTGTGCTACTGCTTTCTTATCTATAGGCCTGTGGTATGCGTGGACTTAGGTCATCCTGCTAAAGAACACACCTCTGTTTGGCACATTTCTTCCCTTTTTTCTATTCCTTTCTCCTGAGGAGAGAGAGCACAAAGTGAGCTACCGTGGCTCCTGCCCCTAGGTTGGTTACTGATTAACCATAATTATCTTGGATTAGGAACAAAGTAATCCTTGTGAGTCAGGAATTCTTTATCCAGAGAGTGAACATGTGAACAGTGAGTATAAACTATGTTCATAAAATGTTGCCTTTAAATGGCTGTCACTCACTCATTCCTAATGTCACAACCATTACAACTGACATATATAAAAGGAGTCTCCTTTACAGAGTGTCTGCAGAGTCCTCGTCAGAGATATTCACTTGAATCTCAGGAGTAACATCGCTGTGTTAGCTGTAACTAACAGCCGCTCTTAATTACTGTGCTGATGTTTCTTGAAAAACATTTTGATTGTGATGTCTTTGAAAATGATCAGCTACCAGCTGTGAAAAGGCTGAGTACACAGAGGGGAAGTAGTTTGCAGGAGAGCAAGTTTACTCCTACTAACACCTGGCTTCTTGGATAAATGTAAGCTTATTCATAGTCTGATAGTGGTTT